CAGAGAGGGTTTGGGTCCACAGACAGAAATATAACATAATCAATGTTACAATGTTATTCCCAAGTGTCTCAGCCAGAGTATAGTGTCTGGCGTCAGGGTGAAGACAGCCAAGTGGCCGCTGTGCAGTTATCAAACCTCTGTCATGCAGAGAAGCTGCTACTAGTTGTCAAGCGATAAGCAAACAGGCCCTTAGTGGCAGTTCAGCAACGTTTTTCTAAACACTTTTCTGGTGTGAAATATCTGGGGAGAGACCAATGGTCTCCACAGTATAAGCACACAGAAACAAGGAGCTCTCCCAAAGCACTTTGGGCATCATCACCCAAAGGGCAAGGGATTGTTTCTGGGTGAGGTGGGGGAGCAGGAATAATGACCGATGTCAGAGACCACCTCATCCAATAGCCCTGAATGAACCATGAAAGTTACTTATCTTTAAGAAGACGAGGAAGAAAGACTTCCAACAGTTACTGCTTGAGCCTTACCTCCCCAGAAGGCCGAGACAGTCGCTATATACGTTCTCGTCAGAAACAAACAATAAAAGAAGAGCCCCAAAGCCTTGGGCTCAAAAGAGCTTCTCCATTAAAAGGCTCCATTCAGAAGAGCTTCCCTGTTCCTTTTCCACTAAGGAATCCGTCCCTTTGGATCACACATCCACCCAAATGAAATGCAGTAATTCTGGGAAGCATTCTGAGGATCATTAATAAATAGGTCCAAGGTGCCAAACTAAAACTAAAAAAGCTGGAGCCTGAGAAATTTCCCAAGCTGTCTCCTGTGAAGGATGATGTCTCCTTTTTCAGCCAACCTCGTTATACTTTGCTGTCCTTGGTGTAGAACAACTGGCTCCAGCACTTTCCAAAGGAGCCTTACTGCTGCGGAAAATCACCAAAGTGGCTCTGGACTGGAATGGCTCTTGTCTCCACGGGAAACAGATGCTTCTGAAGGTGTGAAAGCAGGTACAGCACAGACCTGCACAGGCTGCAAAGTAGACCATTTATCCCCCAAAGCATGTTCTAGTCTGGATTTTTATCAATGGCTTTTTAAGGAGAAGTGAAATTGCTTCAAAGGGCTCTGGTGCAGCCCCAAAAATCTTGCCTCAGTGCCAACGCTTGTGGTGTAGCGCTCTCAGTGCCGACAGACAGCAAGCATTTAAAGTAGTGCTGCTCTGCAGGCTATCAATGCCTACCTTGTGAAGGTTGTTTCTTGAAGAAGGACCAGGGTCTAGAGAAACGGGAACAGGCAGAGGACTCATTCTGCTCCAGTTCTGTACTACATGGGAGCAAGGTAAGGCAAAGAGGTTTCATGGAGTAAGGAGTAGCCAGAAGTTGAATCAAAACCAGGAAAACAGAAGCAACAGGAGGTCTCGGCTTATGCAATCCTACTGAAGAAGTAACTGGTAGGATGACAGAACTTCCAAGGCACATTCTACTTTTTTTTTTTTTTTCCCCATGAGGTCTTCTTACTTGGTGCCTTTGTGGACGCTGCTGGTCAGGTGCCAAACAGGTCAGAAGCCTGGATGTATGCCTTCCTTTCCTAGCGTCAGTTGAATCCCCCTTTAAAGGTGGCAGGCTTGAACTGAGTGAGAACCAGTAAGACAGAATGCAAAGTTGCCACCTCTCCTAAGTCAGGTGTCCTGCTTTCGGCAGGGATAGAGTTAATTTCCTTCCTAGTAGCTGGTACAGTGCTGTGTTTTGGATTTAGGAGGAGAACAAAGTTGATAACACACCGATGTTTTAGTTGTTGCTGGGTAGTGCTTACACTAGTCAAGGGCTTCTCAGCTTCCCATGCTCTACCGACTGAGAAGGCTGGAGGGGCACAAGAAGCTGGGAGGGGGCACAGCCAGGACAGCTGACCCAAACTGGCCCAAGGGACATTCCACACCATGTGACGTCATGCTCAGTATATAAAGCTGGGGGAAGAAGAAGGAAGGGGGGGACGTTTGGAGTGATGGCGTTTGTCTTCCCAAGTAACCGTTCCGCATGAGGGAGCCCTGCTTTCCTGGAGACGGCTGAACACCTGCCTGCCCATGGGAAGGAGTGGATGAATTCCTTGGTTTGCTTTGCTTGCGTGTGCGCGGCTTTTGCTTTACCTATTAAACTGTTTTTATCTCAACCCAC